CTTCTCTTGTTTGGTTCTTTGTGCTAAGCTCTAGCTGTTCTATTCTTTTATATTATTCTTTTAACCTTATTTGTTATTATCCCTGTACAGCACTTTGGTCAGCTCACATGCTGTTTTTTAAATGTGCTCTACCAAATAAATGGAATGGAATAATTTATTTTCTTTTGTATCGTTGACACATCAACCCAAAAACACCTGATCCTCGAGTCACACACTAGCTTAACAAAAATCCAGATTTTGAATAATTTTCCCCTCACTTGGGTACAATGTTGTTTTTATTTTTCTGGAGTGAAATCTGCTTCACTCTCACTTTATCAGGCGTGTTGATTAAGCCTAATTTGTAGCAGTAGAAAGAAGGAGCGGATAGAGGAGGCGGGGGAGGTTTTTTCGTACATAATATCAGCGAGTGAGTGTCGAGGATTACAGTGTCTTCAGAGAACATTTCTGTTTTACATTACTTCATTAGGCTCTCTCAGATAACCTTTCATTTCACATTATTAGTTTTCATTTAATCCCTGTCCGTGTCTAAGCTGCTGTTTGTATGTTGTGGCGCTGGAAGCTTGCAGAACCACGGCTTTGCTACAAGTGGAGGTCTATGTGATTAATGAAGAAACTACAAGAGGTCACAATTTACAGTCAGCTGTGAGATGTTAATTGTGGAGTAAAACATGACAACTGTGCTAGAAATCAGTTAGCGTACACCTTCGGTTCTCTATTCTCATTGCATCAGCATTGTTTGTGATTAGAATTGGATAATTATTCTGATCATCTCAGTCTTTTTCATTTAATTCCTTCTACGTAGATTTCCTCCTTGCGACTGATTGAATCAGAAATCAAGCAGCTGTTTCTCAGGTGGTACAGCGAGTTATTTTTTTTTATCAGTTGTTTGTTTCCCTCCATCTATCACAGCCACATGCCAAACTGTTCTTTGGCAAGACTGAACCCTGAGTTGCTCCTGGTGGCAGGGGAGTGCCTCCCCAGGCAGCTTGAGTCTGAGAGTGTGAGTGACATGTAAAATACTGGAAAAGAGTTTAAGTGCTGCTGAGGTGGAAAACAGCTGCAATTCACTCACGGGTGAGCGAATAAGTACAATCTAGCCTGATAAATAATCTATATTTGGGCTTTTGAACAAACAAACCCCTGATCCTTTTTGAAAACACGTCTATTGATATGTTTTCATCCCACCAGATGTAAAGTCTGAGCTCCTGGATTATGTATTAGTGATTAGTCTTATAGTCTTAATCAAAGCTTCTGGCATTGTACACGTGATGTTCTGTTGGACTTTGATATTGAAACAAAAGGTGGACCATTCAATACAATAATGAGCCACCACAGTCGACAGGTAAGCAATAAATATGAAGATTTGCAGAACTTCAGCTGATAATTACTGTCTTATTTCTAATCAAAATTTGCCAAATGCCAAATTTCTCTGCGGTGGATGGAGCAGACTGGTAGCAACAACCAGACGGTAGCTGCAGCGGCTCTGCCCCACACCGATGCAGAGATCCACAATTAACAGGATGATGGGGATTTTTCTTCCTCTTGTGGAGTTTAGTCGTTCACAACCATCAAGCTTTTTTCTGAGCCACACTTGCTCGTGAGAATGCTACCCGCTAGCATAGCATTAGCAATTCTGCTCATAGTAGTAACTCTTGATCCCAAACTTTGGACCGTTTCTGCCTTTTACAATGGTTTCTAGCTTTGCTGGTTTCTCTATTTTCCTCCACAGCACCTAGATCACCACGTAGTTCGCCAGTAAAATGTGTTCAGACTGTGAAGCTTCGAATCAGTAAAAAATGAATCGAGGAATTTAATGAATCGAACCATTTCAGTCATTCAATGATTCGTTTCAGCCCTAAATTGAACCAATGGATATAATTTATTGATAACCCAGAAATTCTTCACTGAAAAAATGTCCACAACAGGTTAAATTCTGGTCAAGCTAATGAAAGAAGTCCACCACCTGTAATCAACATTAGCAAACACAGATGTGGTTTCAAATCAGTTTGTTGATATTGAGCTTAAACGTAACGTATTACCTTTCTCAGTGGCCTAGTGGTAGAGTGTCCGCCCTCAGACTGGGAGATCAGGGGTTCGATTCCTGGTCGGGTCATACCAAAGACTTTGAAAAAATGGGACCCTCCCTGCTTGACACTCAGCATTAAGGGGTTGGATTGGGGGGTTAAACCACCAAATAGTTCCCGAGCGCCGCTGTGTCTGCAGCTCACCGCTCCCCCAGGGGATGGGTCAAATGCGGAGAACAAATTTCGCACACACACCTGTGTGTGTGACAACCAATGGGACTATTAGAAGCTGTGGGTCATTACATACAACATAATATAATCTAAAATTTCATGGTGGCTTTTTATAGCAGGATGCAGATTTTTCTAAGGGGAATATATTTGAGATGTTTTGATGGATTGTGGTAAAATATTTTCATCAGAAATAATTAAAATTTATTAGAGAAATATACAGTAGAAATTATTTTTAGTATTTTTTTTGCCATAACTTATTTTCTTAAAATTATAGTTTATTAGATTCTTAAACAGATCATAGGTACGAATGTTCGATTTTGGCTTTACCGATAGGGAATTAGCTAGGAATGTCCCGATACAACTTTTTCACTTTCGATACCACACCAGTATCGCAGCCTTCAGTAATGACCGATACCGATATCAAGCCCATGCAATATCAGCACAAATCATACATACTTTTACCTATTTCATAGTGTGGAATGTATGAAAGTCTTGATCAAGTGATATTACTCCAACAAAAAACAAAAGCCAGCAACAGTAAGTATAAAAAATTCACCAATTTTTATTAACCTTTGGTTGCATAAATGTGAAGGGCTGAGGTTAGGGACATAAGGAAAAAAACACAGTATTGTTCCCTGACCAACTGCTACAAGTTCAGAGTGTAAAGTTTAAATTTCACGCACAGTAAAAATCCTCATGTAATGTTTTGTGATCCTGTTTTAAATGAGGTTGGACGTATTCGACTTCCTCGTTTTTGTTTCACCACAGGAAACTTGTGCATGACAAGTGTTGCACTGAGCCAAACTGTCTTTTTCAAACTTTAACAAAAAATACAGCCACATGGTCGACATTGTTCCTTGCAACTTTGCTAGCATACACTGTTCTGATCACGTGGACTGATGCTGGATCCGGTATCAGTATCGGAACAGGACATCCCTAGAATTAACCAATAAGTCATTAATCTCGATACCAGTATAAACCATAATGCCCGCTTCACAGAGCAAATTTCTACTTCTTCAAAAGTTGTGTCTGAAAAACAAAAGTATCTCGAAAACTAAACCTCAGATCTGTCATGTTTTTGATATTTTGAGTTAGAGGAGGAGTGATTAGTCTGGTGTAAAACAAACATAATGTATGTAAATGTTCTGTCATTAAATGGGTACAAACTGATCATAACTCCATTAATGACTATAATAACGGTTGGACAATAATATGTCTAATCATAATTTGATCAATGCCCAAATATTGGGACAAATGACTTTTCAATAGATATTTACCAGACCAGTCTGATACATGTACTTAAGTTCAAGGAGAGCTTGTATGAATGTAAAAAACATGCCTATGTAGCTGTTCCAAGTTATCAGGTATTATACTCATACCTGCTGTTTAAATAATTAAAATACACTTTTGTTTTCTGTTGTTTTAGTGCTAATGTGCATTATGTATCAAACGTGAAGACAGGCTCTGCCTGCCAGAATTGGTCTTTCCCTCAGGACAACATATAAATGATTAAAAATAAGTCACGGCTGTTTCTTCTTACAGGAAAACACGTCTGATTACTGCCATGTTGAGTTAAATCTGTTTATTTTTAGACGAACAGCCCAAACCCTTTACACACAGGACGTGACCTGATGATGCAGAAATGCACTCAAACTTGTCTACAATTAAATGTCGGTGCGAACACACTGCACCTTCACTGAACATCACTGTTTTTACTTCAGGATGGTGGGTGTTTGTTCTCCTCACCCCCTCCATCCCCCACTCCACCCACTCCCCCACTGTGCAGGATTAATTGCATTCTGCTGGGAGTGATGAGTTTGGACACCAGACACCAAACATTAGCTATTCATAACTCTGCACTAACATATTAAAAAATCTGTTCATCTTGGCCGACTGAATCGCTGCTTTTCCGCAGGGTTAGACAGACAGTCGTGAGCATTTGGTGAAGGCTGTTATTTTCCCAGATACCAATGAAACATCCCCTATTATACAGCACACTAATGGTCCGAGCCTGTCTTCTTTTGTACATAGTGTGGCATAATTGAAATGCCGGGCTTTAAAACTCCCTTTAATTCCCTCGGAAAATGTTCGTCTCATGCCCGACTCGTTATGAGCCGCATCGCAGACGATGTGCGGATATTAACGAACGACCTGCCTGACATCAAGTCAAAGTTCTGCTGCTGAAATTCAAATGATTTGAGTATCAGAGAATGCGTTTGTGTACAGCTGCATTCATCTGAGCTGTTTTCTTGTGTGTGTTTTTTATTCATCCATAAATTACAGGCCTTTCAGATGTTTTCAAAGAAAGAACGAGTGATCGTTCCCGTCTTTACAACAATAAGAAGCTGATCTATGTTAATGCTTCTGATTATTGCAGGCAGTGAAAAGAGGATGCTACGGCTTAAAAACAATCTCTATCAAGCTCAAGGAGAATTGCCTGATCAGATGAAAACTTCAGAATAGAGGTTTTAATATTCAACATCAAATGAGCAGCTCCATGAATTCATGCCATACTTAAGAACAAAGGTTTAACTGCTGGCCAGACAAATTCCCTGAAATTGATCTGGTTTGGCAAGCAGGCTGTCTCCTAATTTCTTCCTGACTAATGGCAGATCTGTTTACGGCTGATAATCTCATCAGATTCAAAATTCACTCATCTTGTCTCCGTGCATCTTCATCTCTCTGGCTAATCAGCCTCGCCGCATAATGAAAGCTAATCTAAGCAATCGTCTCTTCTGTCTGCAGGGTTGAAGATCCGTGAAGTGATGATCAACATCTCACGTCAGCAGGTGGAGGACTTTCACGGTCCGGAGGACTACTGGTGTCTGTGCGTCGCCTGGAGTCACCTGGGAACCTCCAAGAGCCGCAAGGCATCCGTCCGCATTGCCTGTAAGCAGTTTCACTCCGCTCTGATTCCAGTTTTGACCTCACTTTCCCGATTTTCTTCAGACTTGTGGGTGACGATCACTTTTCTTTACGTGTGTTTGGCTGTGCAGACGGTCACGCGTGACATTAAATGTTGCTTCTCAAAAGACTTTGTAGTGAAACGCCGACTCTTTCCTGTCTTCCTCAGACTTGAGGAAGAACTTTGAGCAGGACCCTCAAGGCACCGAGGTGCCGCTTGATGGCATGATCGTGCTGCACTGCCGTCCCCCAGAGGGCGTGCCCGTGGCTGAGGTGAGGGCTGCTTGCACTTGAAACACCCAACAGTCTATCTGCTGTAGCCTTGAGAGGAGCTGTCATCCGTCTAGTTTACTCTCAGTATTGCTTTGTTTTCATGGGGGAATCTGTTTTTGCTCTCCACCTTCAGCATATTAACACAAGGTCTTCATTTCACCTGCTAGCTATTAGCCAGCATTGTAGCCGATAAGCTGGAAGTTTATTTAGTCTGTCAGAGATTCTCAGATCACCTTGGAATGATCAATAATTGACTGGTAGATTATCTAAATTCTTTTTCCTACATTCTCTTGATTTTCCTGTTTAGATGTGATGTATTGGTTATTTCCACCATCCTTCTTCTCTTCCAAGGCTGTGTGTGTGTGTGCGTGTGTGCGTGCGTGCGTGCGTGTGTGTGTGTGTTTGCAAATGTGAATAAAGGCCTTTTTTTAATTTTACCATGAATGTAAATTGAGATCAGTCTTGTTGAGTGGTGTGATGGCTGCTCTCTGATGGCGTGCTCCTTCATGCGGAGGCTCAGCAGGCAGATATGTCAATATCAAAGTGTGTGTGTGTGTGTGTGTGTGTGTGTGTGTGTGTGTGTGTGTGTGTGTGTGTGTGTGTGTGTGTGTATGTGTGTGTGCTCATGCATCTGAGGCTTTTCATTTACTTAAAGGCACAGGCAGTGATCTATAAACAAAATGCCAATTCTACTTTTACATTTTAAAACCACGGGACTGGAAGCGTGTCATTGCATCTAAACTGACGGACGAGACTCCGTTAACCATTACAGGGAAAGTTGGGATCGTTTAAAGCTGGGATCTGCAAAAGAGTCATGAAGAGTTTTGGATAGTTTTTAGAATGACCTCAGTTTGGAAAAATCAATCAGTCAGTCAAAGCTTTATTTATAAAGCGCCTTTCGCGACCCTGTCAGGAAGCCCAAGGCGCTGAACACAGCACATAAGAAATGTGAAACACAATGAATATATAGATAATAAAAGCTATTCAAATAGTGCTAAAAAGGTAAAACATTAAAGTAGAAACAAATGGATAAAACAAGGGATAAAGAGACCGATGAAAACAGGGAAATAAAATCAACATAAAAGAGGGCCGACCTCAAACACGTTCAGGGAACGCCACGCGTACAGATTTGTTCACGACACATAAACCAGCTAACAGCTAGTCTGCATGGGACCAGTTCTAAAAAGTGATGGAGACTCCTCAACTGACTGTGGGTTTCAGAAGACAGAGCAGACACACACACACACACACACACACACACACACACACACACACACACACACAACTGCTACAGTTTTCTGTTGCCATCCCACATTAAAAAGACAATTATTGTCTAAAATTGTGAAATTTTCTTATTTTTTAGCTGAGATTTTTATTAATACAGAAAATGATGAATATTTGTGACAGCGTACCCTTTTGCATGTCATCTCCCCGAGGAGTTAATCACATTTAAATAATAAAGAAAAATGGAGGAAAACTAGTAGCTGAAATTATTCAAATGTAAACAGACGAACAAGTAGCGGTACATTCCACGTTAAAGAAAGTAAAAAGTCATTTCAGGAAGAGTAAGTCTTTCTGTTTTTAGCAGTATATAATTTCCCTTCTGGTGTTTGGTCTCAGTGCTTTGTTCAACAGTCAACAATAACTGGACTGCCAAAGCAAAGAGAAGCCACCACAGTAAATCAGACCAAGCAGGCTACAACAGCTTGGATTGTGCCAGGCATACGGAAGAGGAACTAATAAAAGCCTGGAAGAGAAGTTTCAGATGGCTGAGATTAAAAAAAAAGCAAATTAGTGATCAGAGGAAGGATTACAGAATAAAAAAGGATGTAATTGAGACAAAGAGCCAGTGATTGTGTAATTACTTTGATTTCAAAACAGGGAGACGAGCAGTTAAGTCTGCTGGTGTGAATTCATTTAAGTGTGTGTATTTCTACCCGCTGACAAAGACACAGTTCTGTCTTATAATCCACAGAATCGGCCGTGTCCAGCCCACTCCCTTACATAACCGTGACTGACAGCAGAGCTTGATCCACGTCAGCGTTTTCTGGTTGTGCTGCAACCCTTCTTTCTGCATGTGTGCATTTAAATCTGAGATTTTATTTTAAAAAAACACATACATATATATTTCAAATCCCCACGATGGGAGTTTCCAACTAAGTGAATGTGAATGTAGGCAGTTCTGCAACATTCTTTAAGCTATTAGAGAAAAAATGTGGTTTCAGCACATGTACATTTACACAGAAGCTGGCGTCATGATTTATTTGTGCTGGAGGAGGTTTTCAGAGGGTCTATGCAGGGAACAAAATTCAGTAATGCTCAAATGCTTCTTTAAAAGTCAGCTCACATAATTAAAGTTTAGAAAACAGGAAATACAAATGACAAAAAGGACAAAAACTACTAAAACATTTAGTCCATGCCACTTATTGTTTAATGTGTTTATTAGTATCTTTCTGTTATAATTAAGTGAAATGGAGACAAAGAATCAGGTCGCAGTTTATGCTTTTTAAAATATTTTTCAATTATTTGACAAACTTTGAAACCTCAAAAATCATAAAATATGAAAAAAATAATAATAATCGTATTGTGATCTTACTTTGTGAGAAGGTGCATGTGCAAATAATTTGATGCTTACAGACAATCAGGAATTTGATTGTTTGCTAACATAAAACGGAACAATTTTCTGAACAAATTTCCTTCTAAGTTAATCACAACAATCTTATCAGCTCTGCTTTTCTAACATTCATAAGATGTTCACACATTTTCATGTCCACTTTTCAAAGTTTCTCGTATCAAAGCTGCCTGATAATTGTAAGAATACGTGACAAATGTAACAATATTTTCCTGCGGAGACCTAGAAGAGTAGCTCCGAACATCACACTGTGTACTTTACTGCATCATAAAAGTCATTGATCACATTCCTCCTCTTCACTTTGTCAGTGATTTCTCTAATTTCACTCACAGTCTCTAATTAAAATCTTCTTTTTGAATCTTTTCTCTTGGGGAGCCAGTTTCCAGACCCAGTCGAGCTTCCTTAAGTTCACTGTTTAAGCTTTTGTACGCAGTTTTAACAAGCTGCCGTTTTTAGTTGAGTTTGCTTCTGAAAAAGAACAAATAAAAACATGTAATTCTCCTGAAAGTGTTTGAATAGAGCTGCACAGTCCTAATTTTTATTCGTTTTTAGACACACATTATGTCCAGAATTGCTTTTTCATTTCTAAGTGACATAAGAGCAAAAGCAATTACAATTTATTTAATCAGTGCTTTAGCCAGAAACCATTTCTCAGGGGCATTTTAAAAAAAAAGTGTTTTCTTACATGTATTTGAGTGGAAAGAAAAACAGCAGTTTTGCCAGAATGATGGGAGTTGTCTGATCTATTGATAAAGTCCATTCTTATCTATTTAAATAGATACATTTTTATTTTTTGGGAAGTTTTTTTAAAGGAGACATAATATGCTTTTTTTTCTTAAGTTAAAATAAATCTATATTAGATACAAAACATATTCATAAAGCTCTTTACACTGAAATTCTCTCCCAGCTATAAGCTGAAAAGCTCTGATCTCTGGGAGGGGCTCTGAGTAGAGTCGCTGTTCCTTCAACCTGCATAGTTGAGAGGGGTTTCATGCAAATGTCCCCATTTGTGATGTCACAAAGAGGAGACCTTTTGACAAGGCTTGTTTTAGACATAGGGTTCCTAAAACAAACACTGACAGAAACATTTGGAGTGTTTATAGAGGCAGTAGAGACCCACATGGCAGCAAACAAGGATGAAAAAAACTGCTTTTTGCATCCTTGTGTCTACTTGAAATCTGACTATACTGCATACAAAGCTGCATAGTGGAGCTATTAGGAGCACTGTTGCCTCGCAACTTAAGGTTCAAATGGTAAATAGTAAGTTGTGTGTATTTTATAGTGCCTTCTAGGGTTCTACAAGCCCCCCAAGGCATTTTACAACTAACTAGTCATTCACCCACACACACATACATTCACGTGCTGATGGTGATGAGCTACATTGTAGCCACAGCTGCCCTGGGGAAAGCGAGTGAAGTGTCTTCCCCAAAGACAAGCGACTGTGACAGATGGGATGTAAACGCAACCTTTCGGTTGCTAGCCTGACCAGCCAGCCCCATTCTTCCTTATGGGAAGCATTGGGTTTGGGAACTCTCCTACTCAAACAACCCCACCCCCTGAAAAATCTAACCAAGCCCATCAGCGCTGAGCAGCGTACGTCACACTCCGCTATGCTGAGTTTCTAATAAACAACGAAGACGGAGTCTGAAGCGGCGTTCGCTGCGGCTCTTTCCTCTGTTCTAAATGACTTGAACACGTCTTTGAAGCCACAACAAGTAGAAGCGCCGAAAGCCTTTCTTCTAATGAAAGATGTTTGCGCCATCGCCAGACGCCATTTTTGACTACAGCTAAAAAACTACAGCATTTCACGGTACAGTCATCGTTTTTTCTGATTAGTTATTTTTGAGCTGGCTAGTCCCGCCCCTCATTTGCCTCTCTGCCTGTGAGTAACCAGACTAGCTCTCTGTGTAGAATACAGAGGACGAGTCTAGCAGGCCAGGCTATTTGGTTACAGGGTGGACGCTAAACACATCTGCCATCATTACCCCCCAAATCTCAGATTCAGCCTTTCAGCGTGGATGTTTGCATGTTGTCCTTATGCAAGTGTGGGTTTCCTCTGGGTTTTTGATCCCACAGACCAAAAATATGCACACTAAGTTTATTAAGGACTTTAAATCTGGCTTAAATGTGAATGTGTGTTTGGCTAGTTTTTTGTCTCGGTGTGTTCCAGCGATGGACTGGAAACTGCTGGAGTTGGACATCAGATTCCCGTAACCCTACTGACGATTTAAGCAGTTCAGAAAATGAGCGAGGAAGTGATTGTTACCTTATAAAAACAAGATTTCAGATAACGGTGAAAATGGATGAAGCCTCTGTGGAAAAATAAGACCAAATGATTCATTTACCCACAGTGTCCTCAATTCTTCTG